GCACGCACGCACATGCGCCCGGCGTGAGTTTTAAGCCACTGGGTCCGGGACACGAACCGCGGTCGACTACGTGGGAGTCCAGCGACATAGCCATTACGCTAACTGCTGGTTCCCTTAAAGAAAACTTTTTGAAGAAAAACTTTTGGACTTCTAGTTTTAGCCATGACTAGCTTATACTGGATTTACCCTCCAGGCACAAACCATTTTAAAAACTGGACATATAAATACAGACATTTATTCTGGAGGGTAACCAGTGCAAGCAGGACTTAAAGGGTTACAGGCCTTGTGAGCAGGGACACATACCAGGCATGGGCCCATCTCCTGAACGTCGAGCAGGAAGAGGGGCCTGGGAAGAAAGCTGCACGCGCCTGTGCGCTGGAGAGAGAGGCAGTTCTTTAGGGCAAAGTAGCTGAGACTTGAGAAACAAAATTCCCCAAAGCAAGAGATCAGAGAGAAGGAGCAGCGAATCTGCATCCGACCCCTCTCAGCCTCTAGGACACACACATACAGAGCGACACTCAGAATCCCGGTGGATGGCGGGAGGCTCACTGTGTAGCAGAGTTCCATTGCAGGGCTGGGAGACAAGTGGGACCAAATCCAGATGAGGGAGGATGGAGAAGCACATGGCCTTTCAGGTGGGCCTCCAGAGACCCATGCTCTGAAGCAGGGTACTCTCCCTGGAGTGAAAACAAAACGGAGTCAGAGCAGCTTTCAGAGCTAAAGTGAGGCCTCTACAGGGTCTGCTTGCCAGAGCCAAAACAGCACTGTGACAAAATACCTTCAGTATCTTTAGGAAAAATGCACTGTCTGATGTGCCTACTTTTTCATTCACCATGCCTGGCCTCATAATAGGAAGTTATAGGGCCAAGTTAACAGGACCAAGTGACCAAACTGACCAGAAGAACAAACACTGCAGTTATCAGACAGAGACTTGAAGATGTCTTTAACTGACATATTCAAGAAAATCGAGGAAATGATGAATGAAATAGATGTGAAAGTAGAGAATTTCAAGAGGACTGGAGTGTGTAAAAAAGAATCAAGTGGGGAACCAGCAGTTAGCGTAATGGCTATGTTGCTGGACTCCCACGTAGTCGACCGCGGTTCGCGTCCCGGACCCGGTGGCTTAAAACTCACGCCGGGCGCGTGTGCGTACGTGCCCAAGATCCCGAGAGGAGAATGGAGGAGAAGGGATTGCGGCGTGACCATCCCCCCTGGGGGGTGATTTCTCGCTTTCTGTCTCTATGTCTCTCTCTGTCTGTCTGGCGAGCGCACGCGCCCTATAGCGAAAAAAAACTCTCAAAAAAAATAGCTTTTAAAAAATATATGAACCATTCTTGGGATAATGGCTATGTTGGCATAATGGCTATGTCACTGGACTCAATGTAGTCAACCATGGTTCAAGTCCCAGACCCGGTGGCTTAAACTCACACTGGGCATGTGTGCATGCATGCCCAAGATCCCGAGAGGAGAATGGAGGAGAAGGGATTGCGGCGTGGCCATCCCCCCTGGAGGGTGATTTCTCACTTTCTATCTCTCTGT